GAGAAGGGGAGGCTTGTGGCATACATGGAAGAGGCCAGAAGGAGAACAAGATCCTGAGGAGTGGTTTCCAATGGGACGATTCAAGGAGGAATAAACGCTCAGAGCTTCTGCTCTCCTCTCATACGTCATGAAACTGGTTCTGGAAAGGTGAAGGACAGCTAGGATCGATGAGGAACACATCTTTCTTTTATAATCAGAAAAAAATAAAGTTTTGAAAGGTGCTTATATCAGGTGGTGCTAAAAGGCTTCAGAGTTGTCTATGTCTCTCCCACTTAACCTGACCTGCCTTCTGTTTGCAAGGCCCTGGGAGAGCTGGAAATGGTGAGGACCACATTTCCTGCCTTCGAGATGCTTACTGGGGAGTAAGTGCTGAATCAGAGTCTAAGAAAGAAGCTAGGAAACCAGAAGCCATTCTGAATGGGAGGGGCACAGCGGAAGGCTTAGTGGAGAAAGGGGAGGAAAATAGGGGTCCATATTCTCCCTCTACAGTCTGTAGTAGTAAGCTCTTTCTCTGGAGAGACTCGGCAAATTGGAAAGATAATATCTTTGTGTTATCTATGACGCAAGTCTTGTTAAACAGAGTAATAGGGGGAAAGGGGGAAATGTTAGCCATTGGCCTCTTGAGACCATCCTCTGTCCAGTGTGGCTATAGCTGTTTTTGTTTTTTGTGTTTTTAGATTTATTTGAGGGAAAGACAGAGGAGAATGTGCATGCACATTGGGGGAGAGGCAGGAGGAGAGATCTCCAGCAGACTTTCTGCTGAGCATGGAGCCCTACACAGGGCTAGACTCCACAACCCATGAGATCATGACCTGAGCAGAAACCAAGAGTCGGACGCATAACCAGCGGAACCCCCCAGGCCCTCCAGTGTGGCCATAGTTTTAACTTCCACATTGCCACATCCACTGGAGCAATGGAAAGAGACCCAGATGTTGGGGACTTGTTCCCCTGGCTCACTGACCCCTGAGGTAGGAGCCCCTTGCTCCCAGAGCCAGCACCCAGAAAGTGATCTCCTTGGTCAGCAGAGTGGGCAAGAGTCTGAGGCAGCTGGACCTGGAGAAGCCAGAAGGCTATTTACAAGCGCTCCAGCGAATGAGTCATGTGTGTGGACATTTGTCACCACACCCCAGAGTCCGAGGTAAAGGAGAAAGACAAGCAACCATTACCAGCCTCTTTCTGCTCCTCCCTTGGGACAGTACATTAGCCTGTTCAGAGCACCCAGAGGTGGTTTATTTATTTACTTTATTGTTTGTTTATTTTGAGGATGGGGAGGAGCAGAGGAGAGGGACCTGCAGACTCGTGCTGAGTGCAGAGCCTGATGCAGGGCTTACTCTCATGCCCCTGACATCATGACTCAAGCTGAAACCAAGAGTCAGAAGCTTAACTGACTGAGCCCCCCAGGTCCCTCCCTCCAGGCGGTTTTTGAGTGAGTTCTCTTGCAGTTGGGGGTGTACTGAGGAGCTGTGGGCAGGAGTGATTGGCAGTGGCAGGGTGGTAAACATCTCTCCTTCTGCCGGCTCTTCCTCCTACCCCCAGCGTGGCTCTACACAATGTCTTATCCTGCAGGATTGTTCCTGGTTGCTTCCCAAAGCAAATCTGCGCTGGTCTTCTAACCACACAGCTGGTGTCTGGGAGTCCCGGCACGCTGTGCTCTGCTGCTCTGGGAGGAGGACAGGAGGCTAACCTGGCCAGTCCAACCTGCCAGGCACCTTGTCCACGTGCTCAGAGCCAACAGAAACTCTTTTCCTCTTTCAGTCAGTGCTAGAGGAGGGCCGGTGAGAGGAACCAGAAGTCAACTTGCCGCACCCTGGTTGTGGGAGGTGTCTATAAACACTCCCGGAATGCAGTGAGGGGTCAGCTGTGAGGGGTCAGCTGCCCCAGGACCGCCTGGCCTGTGGGAGAGGGTGGGAGGGATGCCCAGGTGTGTTCTTCTGAGGGCAGGTAGGGAACAGGACCTCATGGAGAGCCAGCCCTCTTGTGCTCCTTGTCTTTGCACCTGCACACCCCCCAGCCTGGACTGTGGGGCTCTAAAATTAGGGGGAAGACAGACTTACTTCCGGGCGGTCAGCAAGTGAGGTTGGAGGGACAATGTGCTCGGGCTGGAGGAGGGGAAAAAACAGCCACCAAGGCACTCTAGCACCAGGTACATCTGGGGATCTGCCTCCTGGCTTCGCTCTAGCTCCTGAGGTTATTTCTAATTCCAGCCTCTAGTGAGCCCCCACACCTCTGAGTTAACCCCTGCCAGCGTCCAGTGTCTGGAGAGATCTTGATCTTGCTTTCCTGGTGGTTGGGGGGACAGCCTTACCCTCCCCCAACCCACCATCTCTGCTTTAACCACAAAGCCTGTGTGTGTCTGACAGAAACCCAAACACATGAGGTCACAAGGTACTCATAATTTTTCCTTCCCCTTCGCCCCCCCGCCCCGTCCTCTAATCCTTTCCATGAATAGAAGGATGCTTGGTGTCCTTCTCAGCCTGTGAGTCTGTCCGGCTAGGTTTCATTCCTTGCTATCTTTATTGTGGGGCAGCCCTAACCATGTGAGTGTGGGAGCAGTAGAGAGAGCAGAGCTGAAAATCTTTACTCCCGGGGTCACGTTGGACCTCAGATCTCTGACTTTGTCCAGCTGGGATGTAATGGAGCAGTGCACAGGTAGGAAAACCAGGAGGGAAGTCAACGCCTTATTGAATACAGAACCAGCTAGAAATAGACAGCAAGTACGGATAAGGGGCACGCTGGAGTGGGGCCAGAGGTAGACAGGCCCCAGGTGAACATGAAGGCATCTGGCTGTGACCTGCCATGATACTGGCCGCTGGGTGACTTCTGCTCATACCTGCCTTACGACGTGAAACACAGCCTCCTCACACCACTGCTCAAAACCCTCGGAAGGCTGGCTCACCCCATTCTAACGCTGTGGTATAACCTTAGTCTGGTGTTCGTGATCTACGGGATCTGGGCCCACCTACCTGGGCTGTCTTATCTCTACCATCCACCCCAGTGCTCTCCTAAAATAGTCCACATTCCAACCCCAAGGGGGTACTCATAACCCCTAAACGTGCCATGAACTTACTTTCTGGCCCCCATACTATTGCTTAGGCTGTTCTGTTCTCTCTTCCTGAAATGCTCCCCCCCACCTCGTGTCCCCCTCTCTGCCTGTCAAATCTGGTATATGCTTCAGAGCCCAGCACAATGTCATTTCCTTCAAAAAAATCCACCTGCTTAGAGAAATAACTCCAACCTCAAAATCCCCAAAGCACTTTATTGGTATAGAACTTCCTCTTTTTTCTTTTTCTTTTTTTTTGAAGACTTTGTCAGAGAAGAAGAGAGAGTGCACAAGTAAGGGGAGCAGGAGGCAGAGGGAGAAGCAGACTCTCCACTGAGCAGGGAGCCCCATGCGGGATTCCATCCCAGGACCCCAGGATCGTGACCTGAGCCCACGCCAGACACTTAACTGAGCCACCCAGGTGCCCCTGGGATTTCCTTTATAGCATTTGTCATGGTGTGCCTTGGAACTGGATCTTGTTCAGAGGGCTTTGTGCTTTCCGTAGCTCTTAGCATGGGCACCAAGTAAGTTCTCAGTAAATCTTTATGGTAATGAATGGACCCATGAGGTTGAATGACACCAATAGATGGTCAAGAAGCAGAAGTGGCCCCAGAACAGCACAGTTCTTTTAGGGCTTGCCGTCACTTACCTGTCTGATGCCTCCTTTCTTTCCCTTTTCTATCACCATTACATATTTATAACATACTGAGTATCAGGTCTTTCCCACACAGGAGCTACCCTCAGTTGCAAACCTCAGGCATCATGCCTCTTCTAACTTCCTCCATGGGAAAAGGATACACTATGTGCTCATGGTTGGCGGATGCAACCTGCACACTTTTCAATTCCATAGCAGTCCCTGGGGACCTACGGTGTACCCAGGTTTCTGCCAGGGGTTACGGAAGTAACAAGTTAAATAAGTCACCACCTGGTCCCTGCCCTGACAGGGACTCCTGGAAGCTTACCCATGGGGTAAATGTGAATAACTCACCAGGATTTGGGAATGAAAGGAATCTGCCAATCCCATGGACATCTGGAATAAGGAAGTGAACGACTGGAAGCCCAGAATTAAGGAGCAGGGAGAGACTGAAGAGGATCCAGCTCCGGATAGCTGGGGGACTAAATGGAGAGGGGGTGGCACTCGGTTCTCCTGAAGTCTGGTTTGGCAATCCTATTTTCAGTTCCTCCTTTATTCCCCTTCCCCAATTTAGCCTCTTAGCCTCACCTTATTTGGCGAGGGCAGGGCAAAATAGTAGGACACTCCCACATCACCTCCTGACCGCCCCCCACCCGCTTACGTTCCCCTTTTCAGGCCCTCAAATGGTCCTCCTCCCTCCCCACCCACCTGGCGCCGTCCCAGAACGCTCCGACCTCCAGAGTAAACTACCGCCTGGCTAAAATCAAAAGAGCAGTGAATTTGGGATCGCGTTCATTATCGCCCTCACAGCTACCCCTGATAGCTCACCGTGTGCCGGGCTACATTATCGTTTTTACAGCAACACTAGGAGGAGATTGTTATCTCATTTTATGGGTGAAGGAACCGAGACCAAAAGATGTTAAGTAATCTGTGCCAGCTCACACACCTGCCAGTTGGCGGTGCCAGACTGGGAATGAGGTCTGACTCCCCAGGCAGTGCCCCGGTCAGTTCCGGTTGGGCCGTACGACCTTTGGCAGTTGGGGACCCCATCCCTTAACCAACACCCCTCGTACCGGAATTCTCCAAGCCCCGCCCCGCTCCGGCCGCGCCTGCCTCCGGCTCCCCTGTGCTCGCCAGACTGAGCCGCAGAGGCCAGCGCGGCGCTGGCAGGTGGGGTGGGCGGGGCCGGCGCGGCGGCGCGGGTGGGGAGAGGCGGGCCCTGGCGGGGGCGTGGCCGGAAGCCTTAAAGAGGCTGGGGCCGAGGGGCGGGCCGCAGAGGCCGGCGATCGCGGCGGTGGAGTTCTCGTTTTGAAGCCGCCGGCAGCGCCGTAACCATGTCCCTGGCGGCCTCGGCGGGCGGGGGGTCGGGGTCCGTGTGGTCCCCAACGCATGTGCAGGTGACGGTGCTGCAGGCGCGGGGCCTGCGGGCCAAGGGCCCCGGGGGCACGAGCGACGCGTACGCGGTGATCCAGGTGGGCAAGGAGAAGTACGCCACCTCGGTGTCGGAGCGCAGCCTGGGCGCGCCAGTGTGGCGGGAGGAGGCCACCTTCGAACTGCCGCCGCTGCTGTCCGCCGGGGCCGCGCCCGCGGCCGCCGCCACCTTGCAGCTCACCGTGTTGCACCGCGCGCTGCTCGGCCTCGACAAGTTCCTGGGCCGGGCCGAGGTGGACCTGCGGGAGCTGCACCGGGACCAGGGACGCAGGAAAACCCAGTGAGTGCGGGCCGGGGGAGAGGACAGGGGGCGGCGGGCCGGGGAGCGGGGCAGTGAGGGGCGGGGAACGTGAGGCTAGTCGCTGAGATTCTTTTAGAGCGAGCGCGGCAGTCACCGCGCCGCTGTGTCCCAAGGGGACGGACGGAGAGAGGCCTTTGGTCAGGGATCCCCGTGGACGATAATCATAGTCTCACCGAGGTTCAACTTCTCCTTGGGTTGTCCCGCCCCAGCTCTCCCAGCGCGTGGGCTCTTTGAAGCCGGCGCTGGGGGTGGAGGTGGGGGAGTACCTGGGGTGTTTTTGAATCTGTAGGGACGTCGTTCAGCGCCCGGAACTTAGTAAGCACTTTATGAATTTTCGATGAATTGGAAATACATGTGGGCTGACGAATTCTTCTTCCTAATGTGGGTAGTGTGGATGTTTGAAACACTCATTGGCTTATGTGGAAAGCCTCCTGGGTATTTCACTGTCCTAGACACTGAGCTGGGATGGCTGAGTCCGGGAGCAGGGAGGATCAAGGTGGAGGGTGAACCCCACTGACACTCTGTGGCCTTCGAGGCTCACCCAGGGACAGAGCTGGGGCATTACAATGCGGGGTGGAGGCCACCCAGAGATGTAGAATCTTCACCCCCACCTCAACTACTGCCTAGTGGTTAGTGAAGAGAATCTGCCTCTCCCTCTTCCCCTTTTTTCTCCCCACCCCCCTGGGCCCCAAAGCCTGCTAGAACAGCTTGGTGTTCACTTTCACACTGAAAATTTTTAACACTGTTTCCCCTGAGCCCCAAGTTAGTAAGGATTTCCCAGTGCTGGTCAGAGCCTATGTCTGCCCTTGGCCCAGCTACAGTGGGAGGTAGACATGGTTTCTTCTCCGCCTTTGTCGGGTTCTCTCTGGTCCTATTCTGAAAGGATGGCTGCTCACCTGTAGCTTCTCAGTCTAGAGTTGTGTGCTAGGGTATCTCACTCCCACAGGGAAAAGCTGGGCACCACCCAGTTCACTTCAAGGTGTCACCCATTTATTTGTTCTCTTTCACAGGTGTTTGCCATGGGGTGTTTGATTATGGAACATTTGATTATGCTCACGTACTGTACCAAAAACTGGCCTCCTTGGCTTAATTGGTTACTTTGCTGGACTTACATATGCAAATCAGTCATATTACCACAACTCCTACAGCTTGTGAAGCACATGAATTCACATTGGGTGTTTTAGATATAAATGGTATTTTAACTGTCCCTGGTGGAGGGGATGGAAAAAGCCAGAGGGTTTGAAGTTACCAGACTCCCTTTTCTGCATCCTGGGTCCAGTTTCAGCTTGCATGCTTGCAAATGCAATACCTGATTCACTTATGTGGCCCAAGATGAATAGGCATTTCTGAATTCAAATCAGATAAAAACAGAGAGCCTTGAGGTGAGGATGGATAGGGTATCTCTTGGCATTAACTTACAAGCCATAAGGTGAGCAGCGCCTTTGCTGAGGAGGCACCGAAGCAATGCTGATTTTCCATTTGACTGACATTTGGGGCCTTGGATTGGCTTCCTTTCCAGCTTCAACTGGGCGCCATTTGGTCATCCGTTGTCTTGTTCTGTCCCAAGATGCGCGGATATTATCATCTGTCTGCCGTCTGTTTCTCGGGTGAACATTTTATTCCCTTGAAAGACCGTGTGTCCCTGCCAGAGAGGAGGATTCCAGATTCCTGGGTCTGGTGCCCACTGTGGTCCTGACTCACTGTTAGGCTTTGGGCTGCTCCGTCTCTAAACACCCAGATTTCCCTATTTACACATGGAGCTTGTTGCCAGGCTTAATTGATATTTATAAGATGTTTCTGGGCTCCTGGATTACTGGGGCCTGTGTGTAGACTCAAAAGGTTCTGTTACTGCTTTGTGAGAAACAAAAATCTTAAGTTCCCTATTTTAGGAAGGGTTCAGAGGTCTGCAACTTCATTTCTGTCCTCCTCTCCAATGTAACCCTGAACCTAGATGGTTACTCCCATCTCTACGGTATGGGCTGATTACCACTTAGGCACAGTATCAACCTGTAGGAAAGTGATGCTTAGTTGATGTGTTGGGTTCCCCCCCACCAATAATTGCAAACGAAGTCTTCTTTGCCACCTCAGCAGTAGGTGAAATTGTAAACTTTCCACCTGCCGCTTCCTGGGACTTTCCAAGGGGAACCTAGTTAAACCAAGCCTCTCAGCTGCCCCAGTACGTTCCTTGGGCGCTTGAGATAGCTGAGATTTGGAGAGTGAGATATAAAACAAGAAGCGGAAGTTTACCAGAAAGAAACTGGTTGGGTTAGAAAAGTCATTTGAACTAGTTATTAAAGGTTTGACTCCACCTTAGATATAAAAAACCAGCAACAAAACAGAAGCTCAAATTTTGGTCTCCGGGTTTGTGTGTGCGTGTGTGTGTGCGCGCGCGCGTGCGTGCAGGTATGTGTGTTAATCTCGAGCAAAGAAGAGTTGCTGCTGTAGAGTATGACTCTTGTCATGGGTCCAGAAACTCAAGACGTCAAGAGCTAACTGTGCTAGAATTTGCCTTGGTTCTTTTGATAAGCCCTCATCTGTCATACATTTGGAGGCAAAAGAATATGCTTTTCGGGGCTCAGATTTTGCGGACCTCAAATTTAGCGTGATGACACACATCTTTTAAAATGCCACGCAGTGAATGACCTATGGTATAGGTAGGCATAGGTTGGATACTTTCGATAGGGAGGAGTTTATAGCGCCTGTCTTTAAGAGGCAGTTGAAATGCATTGATTTTGCACTTATCCTTACCTGTTAAAGACCCAGGGTCAAAGTTGGGCCTAGGTTAAATGGGAACCAGTTAAGTCTCATGATCATAAAACAGATATGAATCTGTGAGGCAGAAACAGGTAACCAACATGTGGGATTCTCTGCTCAGCTCTCTAGTCCCAGGTAGTTTGGGATCCTAGACTGATCTAAGGGGATTAAAAAAAAACTTTTCGGGGTACTAAAAGCAACAAGATGTGGGGAAATAATCTGTTTGGGGCAGATTAAAAAACAGCCATTCAGGCTGGCCACTCTGTAACTAATATCATGAAACTTAATACTGCCCTAGTCTTTCAGCCAGGAAGACAGAGTGAGTGATGGAGAGTCGTTTTCTTACACCTCTTGAAGATTCAAGAGGGAATTTGGTTGCATATGAAAGGATTTGAATATTAATAAAGGTTAGAGATTTTGAAAAACTGTAAATATAGTAAGTATAAGTATAGTAAGTTGTCAAAGGAAATCCAGGTTATTAAAAAGAAATAAGGGCTCAATAGTTGTTTTTCTGGATGGGTCGGATGCAGACAAATGATTTAGATGAGCAGAGAGATAGATAATAAGCAGTCAGTGTTTGTGCCTGTACTGTCAAGCCTCCTCAGAGCATTTAGGATTTTTTGTAACAAGTTGGCAAATTGGAGCAGTGATACTGATTAAGTTTATCCTTTCTTGGGATTCCCCTTAAAGATAACATTGGGCCCTACTGGAAACCATTCCTCAGCTCAGGGGCCCCAGTCCCCTCCCACTCCTGTGTAGGAACCTGAGAGCTCCAAACTGGAGATGCCCGGGGACTGAGACTCTGTCAGGCTCTGGGAGAAGTAACCCTAACTTGCTTGTAGCCATGAAGTGAAGTGACTAAGAGGAGGGAGGGGACTCGAGAGTCATTGTTCTGATAATAGGCAAGAAGTTCCCCCATAGTATTATTTGATTATGATTTCATCTCTAAGACGTTCAGTTAGCTTCGGGAAAGTTTCAACTGCCTTTTTTTTTTTTTTTTTTTTGGTCTCCAAAATCTATGTTTTTAGTACATTGTTTTAATTGAAGTAGAGTTGCCACACAATATTATATTAGTTTCAGGGGCACAACATAGTGATTTTATGCGGCACTCACAAGTGTAGCTGCCATCTGTCACGTACGATGCTATTACATTACTACCGCCTGTTCCTTGTGCTGTGCCTTTCATCCCCATGACTTGTTCATTCCATAACTGGAAGCCTGTACCTCCCACTGCCTTTTACCCATTGTGCTCATCCCCCACTTCCTCCTCCCCAGGCAACCACCCACTTTGTTCTCTGTATTGATGAGTCTGTTTCTGCTATTTGTTTTGGTTTTTAGATTCCACATATAGATGAAATCATACAGTATTTGTCTTTCTCTGTTTTACTACACTTAGCGCTATACCCTCTAAGCCCATCCATGTTGTTGAAAATGGCAAGATCTCATTTTTATGTTTTTGGTAAATATTTTTTAATACCTCTATGTGCCAGGCACTGGGGTATAAACAGTGACCCAAACAGGCATGATCTTTACTTTCGGAAGCTCAGAGCCTTGTGGGGAAGATAGACATTAAACAAATGAATACATAAATAAATAATAATGTATTATGATAAGCACTGCGGAGGAAGAGAACAGGGTGTCATAAGAGAATGGAGGGGGAAAGACATGACTTAAAGAAGGAGATGGCAAATAGCTTCTCTGAGGCTATTTATAACCTTAAGTACAAAGAGATTTTTCTGGTGAAAAGGAGAGGAAGGGGACCTGGGGGAGAGGGAGATGCCTATGCAAAGGCCCTGAGGCAGGAACTCCTGAGAAGTTGGAGAGATTGTGTAGATTGAGGCTGAAGAGGAGGGCAGGGCTTTATTTAAGAGCAGTGGGAAGTCCTTGAGTATTAAAAGCAGAGGGGTGTTGTGATCCACATTTTTAAAAAAGTCACTGGCCACTGGGTGGACAATGGATCTGAAGCGGTCCTCAGCTGGAATCAGACAGCCAAATGGGAGGCAGTCGCACTAATCGAGGCCACCAATGGTGGTGGGTTGCACTAGGGTGATGGCCATGGAGGTAGACAAGTGGTAGATTTCAGAAATATTTTGGAGGTTCAGTTGGCCTGATCTGTGATGGGTTGCGTGTGGGTGGGGGTGAGAGAGAGGAAGTGATAAAAATGAACTAATAAAGTAGGGAGAGTTTGCTACTGAAGATGAACCAGGAAGTGCTGGCGATTTCTT